CACCCTGTTCTTCTTCCCTCAGGCAAGCAAATCACTCCTTCCTCACGTACCCCCCAGAGATCATTTCTCATACACGTGTTTACACAGAATGGCAGTGGGCAGTACAGTGTACAAGCTGCTCTTGGAGAGCTTTCCATTTAGCTCACAAAACTCTTCCATGGGCTTTTTTTTTTTTTAATTTTTTTAAAAAAATATATCTTTATTGATTTTAGAGAGAGGAAGGGAGAGGGAGAGAGAGAGAATTTCTCCTGACAGACAATGAATATGCAAATAAGACTTCTAGATAAATTGAAGTGTTACTAAACTTTAGTTTTTATTTTAGAGTTAGAATAAAATGGGAACCTACATGCCAGTATGCTGCCTAATTGTATTACAGATCAGTCTCCATTTGTACCCACTTGCTTGCTATTTGGCTGGGAGGAGGGAAGGATGGGGATCACCTCTTCCAAAGAGTAGTGAGCAAACAGTTTGTGGTAGAGTTATTAAGAAATAGAAAGAAGCCCTGGCTGGGTGGCTCCATTGGTCGGCACATCAGCCTGTACACCAAAAGGTTGTGGGTTTGATTTCCATCAGGGCAACTGCTTAGGTTGTGGGTTTGAGCCCTGGTCGGGGCACATACAGGAGGCAACCGATCGATGTTTCTCTCTCTTTTCTCTCTCTCTCCTCCTCCCTTCCTCTCTAAAAAAATGAATAAAAACATACCCTTGGGTGAGGGATATATAAATAAATAAATTAATTAAAGACCTGTGAATGTAAGCAGTACTAAAAAGCACAGAGTATCCAGAGATCTGAATTTTGGTTCTAATTCTGCCACAAATCACTTAAGCTCTCTGGACTCAATTTTCTCTCTATTAAATACAGATAATAGTAGTTCAGCGCTTCTCAAAGCATGTTCCATGAAGCATTAACAAGCTCTGTGCACATTAATAGCTGTTACTCAGGGTTCTGTAGGTGGGCCACGTGGAGGCCGGCCTTCTCATTGGAACAGGGCCTCTAGGAGAGCCCAGCCCTGGGAGCTCACAACGAGTCAGAGAAAGACACCCCTTCCTCGGGCTGGTGAGTGGAGCCCAGGCTGGACTTCATCTCCCATGGCACCCCCACCTCATACAGCCTGCACAACATTAAGCAGCTGCCTTGTCTGTAGTCAGATAGGTTTGGGGTAAGCAGGTTTTCCTAGTACGCGATGTCCAGAGCTTTACTATGCTGACAGGCTGTACTTGGAATCACCAAGAGAAGAATGTGACGTGTGGCATGTTTCTTGTTGGACGTCAGGACCTCTGTTTTGTAGGATCAGTATTCCTGGGAACACAGGTTGAGGAAAACTGAACTAGGTTGTCCGTGCCTGTCCTTGTTACCCTAAGATCGTGTTCTTGTCTATTTCATTTTGACACATTTTTCTCCAACAAAAACCAAAGTCCTCACCACCACCACCACCTCGCCTCCAACTTGCTGTCTGTGGTCAAACATTCCCTTTGCCCGTTGCTCTGTTCCCCAGCGCTACTTTGGGGAGTGGGGCATGAAAAACTGGTTCACTCTTCTAGGACCCCTCTTTCAGGAACTTGGTTTTTTGTTTTTTTTAATCCTTGCCCGAGGATATTTTCTCTGTTGCTTTTCAGAGACAGTGGAAAGGGAAAAGAGAGAGAGAGAGAGAGAGAGAGAGAAACATCGATGTGAGAGAGCACATCATTTGGTTGCTTCCCACACACGCCCCGACCAGGGCAGGGGATCTAGCCTGCAGCTGAGGTATGTGCCCTTGATCAGAATGGAACCCTAGACCCGACTCTCTATAGGCCGACTGTCTGACCACAGAGCCAAACTGGCCAGGGCAGGGACTTTGTTTTTAAGAGATAGCTGTCGCCAGCATAATAAATCTATGTACCAAGGATGCTTAATGTTCAAATTAAATGACAAGTGTGATTATTTATAAATACGTATGCGTATGTAGTAGATGTGGTCATTATTAATTTAGAGCTAATTATAACCTGACTGTTCTGTTTTCTGCAATGCCCCATAACAGTGAGGTGGGGAGGTGACCTATTTCCACCTGGAGTTTCTCCTTAGCTCTCTTGAATCATGTAGACGCAGGGCTGTGAAGGAAGAGCCAGCTCTTATAGCTTAAACTATTCTGTTCTAAGGTAAAGGAGCTATGGAAAGAATTCCATTTATTTTAATGAATATTAAACATTATTTAGTAAAATACTAATAGGTCAATGAACTATTGACCCTATAAAAATTGTTTCTAATGTGAATGGAGTGGGATCCTGGAAAGAATGCTAGGCAAAACTATTCAGTGTTTTAAAAGAAAGAGTATTGGGTTCATCCGTTTGCACCTGTAAGCTGAGTTCTCATGTACATCAGACACAGCACTCTGGCTTTTCACATTTTTCATAAATTTGGTTGGCAAGAAGTAGGACAGTAGCTTTTAGCTTTTAGGGAGAATATATTTGGCGTTCACATATAACTCATGCAATATTTATATTAACAAGAAAGAAACTTTCTGTCATGTAAACTTACTCACCTAAGAATGCCATTGGCTTCCTTCCCTAAGTAACTATGTTTTTAAACAGTTTCTTTTTTAAAAAGCTTTTAAATTGCAGTTGAGTTTGAAAGTGGAATCCTCATACCAGCATGGAGGGCCATTTAGAACCTAGGGGAAAAGTGCTCTATGTTGCAAAAATAGCATTTCCTGCCGAATTCTGAGTCCTCTCAGAAATTTCCTCACTGGTGTAAATGATTGATTCTGAAAAGCAAACATGTGCTCGGCCCCACTGCTGAACCTAGCTCAGCCTACAGGGATTCGTTCACACGCTCAGGCAGCCGTGGTCACAACACGCTCTGTATTCCTAACACTCGTTAATAACCCTGAGAAGCAGTGCCTCAGACATGACTGAAACTAGCTCTGTTTTTGTTTTTAGTAATTTTAGTTTATGAATGCTGATGTCAGTAGCTGCTGTCCCATTTGTCTTACTGCTTTTACTGTCTCTGTAAAAGACTTTTTTCCCTCTTTTCGAGCTTAAGTGCCACCTGAAGAGAGAAGCCTTTTAAGGCCTGGGAGACTGGCCAGTGCCCTTTGTCCTGCTGTTCACCTACTAAAAGGTAGCATTGTTAACCTCGTTCAGCAGGGCCCCGACTCAGTATAAACACTGCTCAATAGAGCCAGAAAGACTAATTGAATTGTACAATACATCATTTTTCAGCAACAGTTTCAAGTGGATTGTACTTCATCTTCCAGAACACCATTCGTTTTTCCCTCGTTTAAAATATTTAAATATTGCAAATGTTTAACTATGATAAATAGAATCTGTTTGAACCCAGTTCTGCCTTTCCCCACTGAACTGGGAGCTACATGAGGACAGGGCCGCGCCTGGTTTATTCTCCACCGAATGCCTAAGCTTACTACAGTGCCTGGCATGTACCTGGGACTCTGCCTCAGAGGGAGGCATTACTTAGTTCTGCCAGCTGTCATTTCCAGTCTGGTAAAATAGTCAGACGTTTTGGCGAATTCTAGGTGCTTCTTTGTGAGCTGGAGTTACAGAGACTGTAAACTTCATTAACTTTAACTCTGCAGGACCCCAGAGGATTACACAGCACAGCAGGTACCTCAGAAATAATTGCTGTTAAGGAAAAAAAAAGGATACTTTTATTAGAAAAAAATTGATGCATATTTTGCATCTCTGTAAGGAGCATACACTTTTATATGAGTTTTACAATAAAAGAAAATGATAATATTGAATTTCATAAATGTGTTTTTAATCAACATGCAATAGCCATACATCTAGTTATCACATATGCATATTGATGGGTTTTAATGGCTGGCTGCTTGTTGTACTCTGCTCTGTCTCCTCCTTGACTACCAAGTGAATTTCTGTTTATCTTTCTAGACCTCAAGCCAGTGTCACCTGTTTTGCCAGGCCTGTCCTGGCTTCTAGCTTCCTTCCTCCAGCACAGTTGATTTCTCCTTCCTTTCAGCTATCAGTGAACCTCAACCATATTTTTTTTGTGCTAGATGACGGGCTATGTGCTACATGTATATTTTGTTTTAAATACTTGTCTAATGTACCAAACAGTAAGTCCCTTGAAGGTAGAGTCCGGACTGTGTCCTATTTAACTTCATTAATAAGCTTCTAGCCCGTAGTGTGAAACATAGTGGATTTTTCATTTTCTTTTTAATAAGCAAAGGTGTTTGTTTTGTTTTTATGATGAATTCCAGCCTTACTCCCAGTACTGGAGAGGTTTTGGAGGAAATTTGGTGAAGAGGTCTTACCTCCCATAAATAGAAACTAAGCCAACTCTATATGCATCACTAGTGAGTCCATGTCTCAGTGTCAGTGAATTAGAATGTACAGGTTCCCCCAGGTTACCCGTGTATTGTGCACTATTTAAGCAACTCCCTCTCTCTCTCGGATGCATTATGTTTCTACTATTTATTTCTACTGATGACGGTCAACTTTCATCATTTACTACCAGAGGTAGATACAGGGTTGGATGAATATGCTAGAGGCAGTCCAAGTTCAAAGTTGTTCTAATAAGAAAAACTCCTTTTTGCTCACTAAAGTGTGTGTTTGAGCCTATTTTCTATGCATTGAAATTATTCTGCATTTAATATTTTTTCTTTTTTGAAATTTTCTTTTATTTCTCTTGAATTTTCTAATATGTGCATGCTTATGTATTTTTTGAAAGTGACTACATATATATATATATATATATGCATATACATATATATTTTTTTACTTTTTATTTTGAAATAATTATAGAGTCTCAGAAAGTTGCACAGATAATACAGAGTGATCCTGTATCCCTTTTACCTATTTTTCCCTATTGGTTACATCTTAAATAACTAAAATATAATATTTAAAAAAACACACATCAGAAAACTGACATTGGTATACTAGGGATATAGTTCTGTGTCATTTTATCATGTGTAGATTCATGTAATCATGTAATCAGGAAACAGAATTGATGAATTCCTTTCAATGCCAACGTTACTTTTACCAGTTGAGTTTCTGGAAGAGAGAAAGAGAAGCCAAAATTTATATTTAGTGAAACGGGCTTTTTCATTTGGCTGGGCTATTTAAGCTGTGGTTCTTAGTTTGGGGCGCTGTGGGAAGCCAGATGACTCACCAGAACTGATTGAGGACGTTGATTTTGTAGGTGTCTAAGCAGGCCAAAGAGTTTCTGGAGTATGTGTACGAAGAGCCCCTGATCGACATCCAGCAGGAGAACCCCATGCTGTACCTGCACGCCGAGCCGCTGGCCGCCGTGGCGCGTCTGCGGCAGCGGCTCCGGTCGCTGCGAGCCTATTTGTTCAGCTGCCGGGCAGCAGTGGCCGAGGATCTGCGCCGCAGGTAAGAGTCATAAATGTCAGATGGCTCCAGTTTGTTTTTCTTTCCTGCCCTGGGAGGGTGGTTAGATGATCTCCAAGGGCCTTTCCAACACAGACTGGCTCGAATTCTGTGGTTCTCCCTCTGGGCTCATCTTTGACTTTTCCTCCGAGGTCCTCTATCAGGTTGAGCCAAGCAAAATGAAAATAATATCTCAGCATAACTTCAGGCTTTTAACCCAGTCGAGTTCCCAAGACGGTGAAGACTGCTCTTACCTATGGGTTAACGTGAGATAATGATTGTGGCAGTGTCTTCACTGATCGCTTCTGTGGTGTTTTACACTTCTCTCAGTTCCCATTTATCATCAGTAAAAATAAGCAGGTGTGAAATATTTCTTAACTTAAAAACATCTGTCAGTGGGAAATAAGTAGGTGGTTATTCAAATCTTATTTTCCTTAAAGAAAAAACTGGGTAAGTGATGCAGGCTGTAGAGTGGGGATTAAAATGAGCAGGCCCAGGAGTCGGCCTTTTCAGGCTCCCAGTGGTACAGGCTGTTCTTTCCAGCTGGTTGTTTCAGAGTCCATAGAACACACAAGTCCATACCAGGCTCAGACCCTTGATCAAACTGAAGTGAGAATGTGCCTGCTCTCATCAGATTCCTTCTTTTACAGTTAGATTTTATTGGCATTTAAATTCTCACTCTTGGCATATATAGGCTAGCTTATACTTGACATAATTGTTGATGGTGTTCATAAGCCTCTAAAACTACCTTTTAATTTTTTTGTTTTAATAGAAATGACCAAAAGCATACATTAGTCATGGATTTTGGAGGTATGCCTATGTGCATAAGAACCTTTGGAAAGTATTAAAAGTGAAAGAGTTTGCTATTTGAGATCTAATTAGATCCAAAGACACTGACATAACCCTAGGCATCTGAAGAAGACATTTTTAAAAGAACTAGGTGTAGATAGTGAAGAATACATAATATCTAGACAAGCTCTCATAAAATAATAATGAAAAGGCAGCTTCCATAAAGCAAAATACTTCTCAGTGGTAGTCATTCTGTTACCTAGTTGTTTTTTAGAAAGCACTAGAAAGTAAGTGGTCAGGATTTGTTCTTACAAAGTGTAGGCACATCTTAATTTTAAAATATCAGGGCTTTCCCTGAAAGGCAGTAGAATTATATGTCTCAAACTAATTTACCAACTAAACTATATACAAGATTTTTAACATTCAAAGTATATTTGTTCTATTATTTTCAGTACCTTTTGGCTTTCCTCAAAGCTGGTTTTTCTTGTGCCTATATATTTAGGCAATATTAAAATCTGCACATGGAAATTATGTTAGATACCTTTCTGATATAATGTTTTACTTTGGTTAAATATGCCAAATCAGGGCACACATTTAGAAATTAAATAGGAGGTCCTCCCTTCATATGGGTGGCTAAGAATACCTATGCTGGCCCACAGTCTGGTGGTTTACCACCCTGTACTGCGCCTATGGCCAGACCACCAGGAAAGGAAAGGAGGTTCTAGAAAAAGGGCACTCCCAAGGCCGTGAGAATGAATGAAAATCTCCCTTGATTTTTCTTCTCTGGGCTCGTTCATGACCATTATGCAGCACAGTGCCTGGCACAAGGTACGTGCTTAGTAAATGTTGAATGGGTAGGCAGAAGGGAGGAGAGAGGATGAGTGGCTGTTAGAGGGTCACTTTAGACCACTGAACGGTGGCTGGTAGCCCCGTTTTGAAGAAGGAGTCATCTTCAGATTCTTCTTTTTCTCACTTCCCTGTATGTTCCTTAGCACAGTGTCTGACCTATCTGAAACCCTTAAAAATAGTTGTAGAATGAACCAAAGAACAAATCTCATCAGTCAAAAATGATGTAGTTGGTCCTGTTTCTGGGATAAGTCTCAAACCTTTCCTCTCCTTCTCACTTCCAGTCCAGCAGCCTGGTACTTGGAGTCTCGGGGTATTGCAGTGTCCTCCTGTCCAGTCTGTCCCAGTTTCTTCCCAGTAGAGCCTCGTACGAGATAGATTATTAAAGACCAAGTATGGAATTCAAGATCTGCCTAAATCTATCTAGTTCATTATGTTGCTCTGCTCTCAAATATCTTGCACTTCACACACAAATAATTTTGTTATTTTAGTTTCTCTGTACTTATATGCTTGAGGCTACCATGTCTTTCCAACCTGGCACAGAGCAAAATATACCAGTAACAGGCATTCTTTCTGCAGCCTTTTTTTTTTTTTT